ATACTTCGGAGTTCTCGAGATCGTCATCAGATAACTAAAACCAACAGTTCGGAACATCCAGCTCTTTTAAGTCAATATCATAATTCCTCCCCGTATGATATGTCAGAATGGCCTTGTCCGTTACCTGGGTAACCTCGCAAGTTGTGACGAGTAATCTATATAATCTCATACAAGTGATGTATCTAATTTACATACTGTTGCGTTTGGGGCTGTCTTCTGATTTCTGAAACGTTAATCGGTTTTCTGGGGTAACAACGAGTCACGAGATACGTTTTAAGATATAAACATAAATATATATTTGGTGACTGCAAGATTAGATATGTAGTATCAAAACTGTAAATGTCAGTTTGTCAACCTTATATTGTATCGTAAAATGTGAAACGTTAGACGAGAAAGGGAGGCCATACAGTATTTTATAATACGACCCATTGATGGATATAGAAGACTTTGTCGAGTTAAAATCGTTTCCCCGAGGTCAGCGGCGTCCCCGCTATACAAACACTTCGTTTCTAAGAAATCTTGATAACAATGATTAGTCAACAGAAAAATTGGCGAGGTTCTCCGGCGAGCTAATTACATGAATGGTTCACGTTTTCATTCATCTGCTCTACATTTAAAAGTAAGAACAGATAATCGATATTTCTTTCACACACTGACAGGCTATGTACCAGGTTGGTGATGCTTTATATCTACTAGTGAGTTAAAAAAAATCGTACAACTGTATCTCAGTCATCACAGCTAAGTATATCAGGTTTACATTCACAATCAATCGATCGATCGATCCATAAATCGATCAACCAACCATTCAATCAATCAATGAATCGATCAATTAATTAATCAATAAATCAATCAATCAGTTTTTTGTCTTTAATCTTGAAGATTAAACAAAGAAATACATCTGTACCTCACGTAGATGTAAAGCGTTGTAGGAGGATGATTTATTATAATGATAAGCTCTTGAAACCTGATGTTGATTCGGATATTTGGTCATTGGAATGGCGAGAAGCACTGACCATGTCCTGTCGGAAATCACATGATCACGCGGTATGGTAACGCGTAACATGCTCAGATCTGTAGAGTCATCTCATAAATATTGAACATGTCATTTGTCAAGGAAAACATCAACCAAGATAATTCTACATCGAGCTTACTCGCCTCCATGTTAAAACCGGCGTCAACACTAGTGTCATAGTCACAACGGTAACAAAACACAGACAATGTCCACGTGTCATAGTCATAGGGGTCACAAAACATAGACAATGATCCACGTGTCATAGTCATAGGGGTCACAATACAACGGCAATAATCCACGTGTCATAGTCATAGGGGTCACAATACAACGGCAATGATCCACGTGTCATAGTCATAGGGGTCACAAAACAACGGCAATGATCCACGTGTCATAGTCATAGGGGTCACAAACAACGACAAAGTCCACGTGTCATAGTCATAGGGGTCACAAAACATACAACGGCAATGATCACACAACGTGTCGTGTCATAGTCATAGGGGTCACAATACAACGGCAATGATCCACGTGTCATAGTCATAGGGGTCACAATACAACGGCAATGATCCACGTGTCATAGTCATAGGGGTCACAAAACATAGACAATGATCCACGTGTCATAGTCATAGGGGTCACAAAACAACGGCAATGATCCACGTGTCATAGTCATAGGGGTCACAAAACATAGACAATGATCCACGTGTCATAGTCATAGGGGTCACAATACAACGGCAATGATCCACGTGTCATAGTCATAGGGGTCACAATACAACGGCAATGATCCACGTGCCATAGTCATAGGGGTCACAAAACATAGACAATGTCCACGTGTCATAGTCATAGGGATCACAATACAACGGCAATGATCCACGTGTCATAGTCATAGGGGTCACAAAACATAGACAATGATCCACGTGTCATAGTCATAGGGGTCACAAAACAACGGCAATGATCAACGTGTCATAGTCATAGGGGTCACAAAACAACGGCAATGATCCACGTGTCATAGTCATAGGGGTCACAAAACAACGGCAATGATCCACGTGTCATAGTCATAGGGGTCACAAAACAATAGTCGGCAATGATCCACGTGTCATAGTCATAGGGGTCACAATACAACGGCAATGATCCACGTGTCATAGTCATAGGGGTCACAATACAACGGCAATGATCCACGTGCCATAGTCATAGGGGTCACAATACAACGACAATGATCCACGTGTCATAGTCATAGGGGTCACAAAACAACGGCAATGATCAACGTGTCATAGTCATAGGGGTCACAATACAACGGCAATGATCCACGTGTCATAGTCATAGGGGTCACAAAACATAGACAATGTCCACGTGTCATAGTCATAGGGGTCACAAAACAACGGCAATGATCCACGTGTCATAGTCATAGGGATCACAATACAACGGCAATGATCCACGTGTCATAGTCATAGGGGTCACAATACAACGGCAATGATCCACGTGTCATAGTCATAGGGGTCACAATACAACGGCAATGATCCACGTGTCATAGTCATAGGGGTCACAAAACAACAATGATCCACGTGTCATAGTCATAGGGGTACAACATAGGCAATGATCCACGTGTCATAGTCATAGGGGTCACAAAACATAGACAATGATCCACGTGTCATAGTCATAGGGGTCACAAAACAACGGCAATGATCCACGTGTCATAGTCATAGGGGTCACAATACAACGGCAATGATCCACGTGTCATAGTCATCAACACAATGTCCACGTGTCATAGTCATAGGGGTCACAAAACAACGGCAATGATCGACGTGTCATAGTCATAGGGGTCACAATACAACGGCAATGATCGACGTGTCATAGCCATAGGGGTCACAATACAACGGCAATGATCCACGTGTCATAGTCATAATACAACGGGGTCACAAAACATACAATAGTCATAGGGGTCACAAAACAACGGCAATGACATAGGGGTCACAAAACAACGCAATGATCCACGTGTCATAGTCATAGGGGTCACAAAACAACGGCAATGATCCACGTGTCATAGTCATAGGGGTCACAAAACAACGGCAATGATCCACGTGTCATAGTCATAGGGGTCACAATACAACGGCAATGATCCACGTGTCATAGTCATAGGGGTCACAAAACAACGGCAATGATCCACGTGTCATAGTCATAGGGGTCACAAAACAACGGCAATGATCCACGTGTCATAGTCATAGGGGTCACAATACAACGGCAATGATCCACGTGTCATAGTCATAGGGGTCACAATACATAGTCACGGCAATGATCCACGTGTCATAGTCATAGGGGTCACAATCATCCACGTGGTCATAGGGGTCACAAAACAACGGCAATGATCCACGTGTCATAGTCATAGGGGTCACAATACAACGGCAATGATCCACGTGTCATAGTCATAGGGGTCAACATAAAAAGGCAATAATCCATGTGTCATAGTCATAGGGGTCACAATACAACGGGTCACAAGGGGTACAACAATGACAATGATCCACGTGTCAATGACAATCCACGTGTCATAGTCATAGGGGTCACAAAACAACGGCAATGATCCACGTGTCATAGTCATATAGTCATAGGGGTCACAAAACAACGGCAATGATCCACGTGTCATAGTCATAGGGGTCACAATCAACGGCAATGATCCACGTGTCATAGTCATAGGGGTCACAATACAACGGCAATGATCCACGGCAATGATCCACGCAATGATCCACGTGTCATAGTCATAGGGGTCACAAGACAATGATCCACGTGTCATAGTCATAGGGGTCACAAAACAACGGCAATGATCCACGTGTCATAGTCATAGGGGTCACAATACAACGGCAATGATCCACGTGTCATAGTCATAGGGGTCACAATACAACGGCAATGATCCACGTGTCATAGTCATAGGGGTCACAAAACAACGGCAATGATCCACGTGTCATAGTCATAGGGGTCACAATACAACGGCAATGATCCACGTGTCATAGTCATAGGGGTCACAAAACATAGACAATGTCCACGTGTCATAGGCATAGGGGTCACAAAACAACGGCAATGATCCATGTGTCATAGTCATAAGGGTCACAATACAACGACAAAGTCCACGTGTCATAGTCATAGGGGTCACAAAACATAGACAATGATCCACGTGTCATAGTCATAGGGATCACAATACAACGGCAATGATCCACGTGTCATAGTCATAGGGGTCACAATACAACGGCAATGATCCACGTGTCATAGTCATAGGGGTCACAATACAACGACAATGATCCACGTGTCATAGTCATAGGGGTCACAATACAACGGCAATGATCCACGTGTCATAGTCATAGGGGTCACAATACAACGGCAATGATCCACGTGTCATAGTCATAGGGGTCACAATACAACGGCAATGATCCACGTGTCATAGTCATAGGGGTCACAAAACAACGGCACGGTGACGTAAGCCAATTAGGTGAGGTGAATGGAGGACGTGGGGTCAATGAAGTAAGGTCAGTGACGTAAAGCCAATAAGGTAAGGTGAAGGACGCGGGGTCAATAAAGTAAGGTCAGTGACGTAAAGCCAATAAGGTAAGGTGAAGGACATGGGGTCAATGAAGTAAGGTCAGTGACGTAAGCCAATTAGGTAAGGTGAAGGACGCGGGGTCAATAAAGTAAGGTCAGTGACGTAAAGCCAATAAGGTAAGGTGAAGGACATGGGGTCAATTAAGTAAGGTCAGTGATGTAAAGTCAATTAGGTAAGGTGAAGGACGGGAGGTCAATTAAGTAAGGTCACTGACTTAAAACCAATTAGTTAAGGTGAAGGAATTGAAGTCAGTGAGGTAAAATCATGTGATCGAACGGTCAGAAGAGGAAGTCAACGATAGTTACGTGCCTCTAAAAGATGTTATAGTATTTAACTGAAATGTTTCGTGTGTAACCAAACAGGCTATTATCAAATGGTCATATGTAGGTCCTGGAGCACGTGCCTTACCTGTGTGAATAAAGGAGAAGTGGGGGAGACTAGTCGTGCCATGTATCCCGACCGTAAAACAACATACTAGTGAGAACTGTAATAAATTCCAGCGGCTCCCTGTATTAGCCGGTTCCGATAGAACTGTGTCCGTCATTTTTCCACTAAAAAATAATTTCCTTTTACTATAATCCACCCGGAATGGAGCACAATCTCACCACTCAACCAACCGGACTGGTTTACAGCTTCGAAGTTACGTCTACCCGTAACCCGCACTTTGCTCTTAGCGCTAGGTACACTGTCGCTCCTGATGTATCAGTGTATGGCTCATACTAGGCTCACGGCCACTGAATCATGCTTAGTCTGCTTCTCTCATCCACTACGCATGCTCACAGGCAGGATCCGACCGCAAATCCTACGGGACACGCGTGTTCATGCACGAAGCAATGTCATTTACTTCGGTGGGGGAGTATCGATAAAAGACTTGATGGCCTCAAGGTGAGACCTCAGCAGCACTGCTGTATGATTAATCATGGTACACACAAAAGTGACAAAAGACTTCAAACATGCAGCAGAGCAGTAGAGAAAATATATACATAAACTAAAGTGTGTTATACCTCCACTGATTTCTGCTCTTTGAAAGTAAAATAAACTAACTAAAGCACAAGATAGTACATTACTGAAAAAGAATCTTGACTCTCACACCTCGCAGTGTGTAGTTTACCTACATTGCTCTGGATAGCATGTGATGGATCTTCCCCATGTTGTTCAGCGAGGTAGTCAAAAGAAACATGGTAAATTTAATGCATTATCTGCCATATCACTCACAAATCGGTAGGGAAATTGATATATAAACAAAGGCTTTGTTGACGAAGAAAAGAAAGAAAAGTTTATATGTGTGAACAAGCTACAGCGTTTCCACTTAGGTGTTTACGACTGTAGCTCTCAGTGGAACTCGTCCTTTGCATAAACGAATATTTGTTCTCAGAACAGCGTGATTCCTAAAAATTATACATAGTTATGCATAGAATGACAATGGAAATACATGCTGAATTTCACGTAATTTATACGTAATGTTTTTGTCGAATTTATCTTTGTTATTAACAAATGTTACCTTTGTTCTGGCAATAAACTGAGTTTCATTCTTGTATGTTTACAAACATCCATGTACTTTTATAAATATAGTGTAATTGGTAATAGGAATTTAAAAAAAAATAAAAAGTGTCCTCCCCGGCGGGGAATTGAACCCCGGTCTCCCGCGTGACAGGCGGGGATACTTACCACTATACTACCGAGGACGTTGCAGAAATTGCCGATAATTTTTATAATGCACATGAAATGCATAAATGTGTGATTAATTAGATGACGCAATGTTGAACCAACACAATACGTTATTCTGACAAAATGTTTCGAAAAACTAGTATAACGTATACTTTTCAATTAACAGGAAGAATATTTTCTCATACAAACAGCTTGACTAAAACGAAAGATACCAAGAGTTATTCCCCGTCGCCTACAACGTAATAGAACGTAATGCTACAGTGCATACTTCGACAAGCAATCTCAAAACCGGTCTCCACGATTGTGACCAAATGTAATGATAAATTTATTGAGATAAAAATTCACTTTTTAATAGTATGAAAAAAGGGTCACTTCACATATGTAACACGAAGCGCCCAAACTTAAATACATGATTATGCATGAATAATCCGACTCGTTAGAGCAACTCCCCAATTAGATCTCGATATCTCTCATTTCATTTTGGATTTTTATTAGAATTAAATTTTAGACTGTATGATCAGGAACGTATTACCTAGATATAATATACGTTCATGGTATGATGCAGTTTAATTAGTATTATTTGTCTCTACTGTAGACTGATTCTAAACTTGTATTCATTTACAACATGTCTATTGTTCGGTTTTATGTAGTCTAATTTTCCCTTTGTTCGTTTTAGTTCCCAATACAGCGATCAGTAATAGGTTTATTAACGAGATCAACATTTTGTTATTATTCATCGTACTTAATAGGCAATAAATTTATATAGATACCAAGTGTGAATTTAATGTATTTTAACTGGTAATCTGTGTATTTAAACATAGGTCTGAAAGTCTACAATAGCATTGGACATGTTTTTCACGTGTTACTCTTCAACTAAGGAATGCTTCGTATAAGACTTTGACTCACACCAAGTACTTTTGTTAAAGCATACAAAAAATTAAGGGTTGTCCATCGTTTCCCTGGCGCACAGTCTCATAAAATCTTACACTTATTGTTTACAGCAATTTTTTTTATTTGTGTTGTGCACTGTAAAAACAAGAAAATATATTACTATGTATATTGGCTTACTATCAAATTAAATGACAACGGAAATTCACGAATATTTAACAACTGATGGTCGTTGACTGTCGAATGACTGTAAATCTGAGAAAACATTACAAAATAGTTCGGTTTCATCATCTGGTAAAATAGTCTGTATTAAAACATATACACAAAGGGATGACATAAAAATGTAGATGTTTAAACTCAAGGATTGAAATTATTTTTTATTCGCTTGTGAGTTGGAATTCTCGCCCGATATGTCTGGTACCCTCTCTCTCTCTCTCTCTCTCTCTCTCTCAAGTGATGTCATAATTCAGTGAATTTGAATAATTCGGAAACGAAACACCGTTGAATTTATGAAATTCTGTTAATATAATGTACGAGAAAAAAATCTTTTATCCGTACATGTTCGATATCGATTAATCTTAATTTGGGGCTGACATTTGTACATCTCAACCACGGCTTTCCCTCGAATCAAATTTGGTTACAGAAAGTCAGCCTTCGACTGGCATTTATACAATATTTCCCTAGCTCTAGGACAGAGAGCCTTCAACCGCGGGGAGATTCTTGACCGTCTAAACCGAGACTTTACCATGGTTAGACAGTCTCTTCAAATGGCAAACATTTCTCTATCTAACTATTAGGTGTTGGAAGAATCAATTTACTATCCCATTTCCCCATATATCATGAAAAATACAACATTTGGACACTTGTGAGTTCTACAAATAACGATTTTGTTTTGTGACTGATGTGTCAATATTTGTATTATGATAAGGAATTCCTCAATTACTACAGAGATGTTACACAGCATGTAATTACAATTATTCAATGAAAATAATGGTATACCTACGATATGACGTCAGCAATTTTCTCACTAATTATGAAATCCGGATAGCGATTGTCAATGACGTCAATTTCCACTCTCAAAGTCACAACTAAAAATGGTCACAAATGAAAATGCCACACCGGTTTTGGAGTTGACATTTAACGTCTTGGCGTGTGTTTGCTAATCACAAGACGAAGCCTAGGGATAATGCGATAGTGCGATAAAAATAACTGAACCAATTTCTTAACAGTAAACTGAGTGCCTAACTTTTATGAAATGTGTTTTCTACAATCTATAAATGACTATGTGGAAGATATGTTTCTGTACCAAGTTTTACGTTGGAGAAAGTATAATGGGTCTATTTTCGATATCAATTGATCATAGTCTGAATACAACACCAGGTTTGTAGGTTAACTGACCCTTTTTTTTCGTCATACGTCGTCCGTTAGCTTTTCATATTTTTATCTTCTCACAAACCGCTGAGCCGATTCAAACCAAACGCGGTCACTGCATCCATACCCCGCAGGGACAGAATTGGTGTTCCCCATCTTCTGGAGTTTACAGCGCGGGTCAAATACAGTTATACATTCTATTTTAATCATCTCTCCTCAAGACAAATAATTTCTTTATCTAGTACTTAATATGGTTGTGATGTCAAAAAACAGCTCGCGCAAAATAGTCACGTGATTGTCTTGATGTAACATTTAGTCTCCAGGAATGGAGGATTTTTTTTGGACGAAGCCAATATACTGAAATAGCATAAAAATTCCAATTCGTTTGAAAATCGTCAGCTTTTCGTATAAGCACATGCTTTGAAAGTTTTAGGAAGTAATGCAAAGATTTTGTTCGTCAAGCTGTATGGTCACCTGGTCAAAAGCTATCAACATTTCTTTCTAAAATCTTCAACATTTTGTATAAGCCTTAATCAACACCTTTGCCTGTGTGCCACATGATGGTTAGGTATGGGTATAACAGTTTAAGGTTTCTAGGAAACCCGACTACCCTGAAAAACCTACATGGAGACGTTGGGATTTTAACTATCTGCCTTTTCTTATTCTGCTTTTATCACATATCACTAAGATATCTTGTCGTCTTCATTCATAAGTTTAATAATATTACTGATTCATTCATTACTTATTGTAAAGGAGAAATACGATTCCAACGTCGAAATGATATTAAAGATATTCTGCCAACTATCCTGCCCTAAAACTGTTAGGGATCAATGATACTTCTACTGTATACAGTCTCTCGGAAAATCCGCTTTGTCTTTGGTTTGGCGGTAGAGGTACATTTACATCTACATTACTGTACATGTTTTATGAGGAAAATTTGGTACTGAACTTTCTATTTCATCAGTACCGACAATGTGTAAATGAAGTATCATTATTATTGGTACAGGAACTTATTTAGACTGGACTTCTATATATTCCGAAGAGCGTTCAGAAATAACGTTTAATACGTGTAACTGACAACAAATAAACAGTCTTAAAATAACATGAATTTTGTGTCTTTTGACATGTTTTCGTTCTTGTTTTCAACCCGCGATATTCACGTTTTTTTCTCTTTCATTTGAACTTGTGCCAGATCCTTTCGTCACTGTTTTGGCAAATACATGAATATCTATCATAATAAATTAACGGGAAATAACTCTGAATATCCTTACTTTCCTCGTGTGTTTACAGGTATATTTTGTGCTGGAGGTACAAATTGCAATATACTGATCTCCTTTTAAAGACTTTATTTTCATATTTCGCGCGAAAAATGAACTTTTTACTTTCATAGTCCATAACATTTAGATGCTCGAAAAAGGAAAAGCATATCGTATCATAAATACAAACTTGTATCAGAAAACGAGTTTGTAGTACTCTTCTTAAAATCTATATGAAGTTTCACCATAGATGATAACTTCAAAATTCTTCAACTAACCCTATATGCAGTGTCAACAAAAAAAAGCTATAATGAAATGCATTTTTGTGGTTTTGTGGAGTCCAATGGTGATGATGCTGTTGAGTTAGTGTAGTGATGGCATTGAAATCCAACTTCAGATTTACATGTTTATTTTAGCATGTATATATACATATCTTTACAAAGAACATCCATGTATTTACAAATTACATTCTGATATACTTCAGATAAAAAAGCCAGAGTGAGCGGCCGCCCCGCCTCTCATCCGTCTTTCCTGTGTGGCATTCCCTCTTCTAGTTGATCAAGAGTGTTCTATTCATACCAAACGCTTGACAGACACATATGTTAAATGTGGCAAACTAGGCAATAATTTGGTTTTAAGAGATGAGATGAAATCAAATATCGGTTTTAATTGATCTTACATGAACAATGTATATGTACTTCGTCAGTACAACCAAGCCTCAAGCATATTAGATAAAAAAATATGACAGTTAACTTAATGATCATGTTAATGTAATATTTCAAATTTCTAAAAAGGGTTTTAACTCAGATAAATAATATAAACATTTTTATAGGTCGAAGTGTAGAAAAATATTATTTGAAAAGAGACGGGAAAAGTTATCTGTATCATAACCATCCATTTGTTGTATTGGAGAGACAGAGAGCTAAAGGTTGTTATACATGTAGAATGAAAAATATCTAGGATAAGTTGATAAAATTTGGAAAGAGAAAATGAAGAGTTTCTCTTTCGTGTACACGTCTTTTCAATATTGTTTTTTAATACTTGATTAATTCGCCTTTCTAACATGCGTATTACAGGATGGCATGTGTCGAAATTTCTGCTAAATATTACTGGAGAACATAGTTAAATGAGCCGAAAGGTCCAGAGGAAAGATAGGATAAATGCGGCAAGACAAAGAACACCTTAATGGAAGTCACAACTCATTGAGAAAGATGATGACGAGAATGTAAATCCATCTACATAGATGGCGTCATTACTCAAATCACATACAAGCGGTAAAGATGTCGAGTTTCTTCCCTTTTCGTTTAAGCACGCGGAGACAACAGTTTATAGATTAAATATAACTGCTCATTTCGGGGGTGGAGAACCAATGGCGAGCAAACGTTTAGAACATATAACGTTTAATTTAGCTCCACAACAAAGAAGTATGGCACGTAACAGCCTCAGTCGGCCGAAATGTCACGAACATTGAAAGGAGGGGCTTTTCTGTCTTTTTTCCGTATATATGTATTTTTTTTTATTTTAACAATCTTGATGAGACATATCCGGGTAATTATCAGAAATCATATGTCGTTTGTTTTTTCACAAGATTTTCAAAGTTGCAACCTTGAGCAATTGAAATGCTTTTTCTGCACACATGTTCCAACTTTTAAAAACTGAATTTAATCCATGCAGTATGATAAGAAAACACGTAGAGTGTACCCAGAGTGAAAACATTAATTAATATATTATCATTTATGATCCTAAATCAAAAAGGTTGAAACCCGCATCAAACTCAGCTATCCTCAAAAATTGACACAAGCGTGCGCAAATATCGGAAAATTAGATTGGACTAAAATATATCGAGTTTATGCTTTCCATCTGGAATTAAGAATTAAAATGAGAATGGTTTCTTTATTCCTCTATACCATAGGTAATAAGACGTGTGTCGTGTTTTATCGAATCACACGTTAGTTTGTCTACTTTTATTTCATTTTAATACACCTCTTTTATGAACTCATTCTAGTAGCAAGTTGATTGGATTTGATACAAGTCGCAGCGCCTATCTACCACGACCTTATTTTCTCCGATGATTGAGTTGTATGATGGTGCTAGTGTTAAAGAATCCTAATAAATGAATAGTGTTGGAGACGTGGAAAAATATCCTCTTTAAGATTACTCGTATTTAAAACGTCACACAAATAATATTTTTACATTTTCTTGTACTTTTCCCAGTTTAGACATAATATTGACAGAGTCATACACGGTACATGTTCTGTTATTCCAAAAGTTGAGTCTGAAAGCACTTTTACCTGTCATTAATACTATATTTTACTTCAACTGAAACAAGTGCTCCAAATTAAGTAACGCCATACCTCTTTACCGTATAAACTGGGAAAAATAAAGTACTTTCAAGTAGTGTAACGATGAAATAATCTACGACTGAACCACAATTGTGGGTACCACAAAAGTTTATTCTTCAATCTGCTACATAACATATATCAATGTGTTACAAATATCATCTGGGGCGTAGGGTGAACAGTATGGTTGTGAAGGGTGTGTGTTGTGAAGGGTGCGTGTTGTGAAGGGTGTGCGTTGTGAAGGGTGCGTGTTGTGAAGGGTGTGCGTTGTGAAGGGTGTGCGTTGTGAAGGGTGACCGTTGTGAAGGGTGTGTGTTGTGAAGGGTACGTGTTGTGAATGGTTTTCGTTATGAACGATGAGCTGTTAAGGGTGCGTAATTTGATGTGTGTTGTGAAGGGTGACCGTTGTGAAGGGTGTGTGTTGTGAAGGGTTATCCCCAATATGGTCACTTAGCTCAGTTGCAACTATAAACAGGACGGACATCTAGTTGGTGAGGTTTTTTAATCGGTTTTTATAGTAGGTTTTGCATATCTGTTTGATTTTCTACCAGTGTTTCTCTTGGCCACTTTGCACGGTGTTTGGGTATGACCTAGTGTGGTAATGAATACCTTTCGGGGACATGGTATAAAGTAATAATATCACGTGTTCAGTAGCACAGACCCAGGTGTGCGAATTCTATTAACCAATTCCGTCACACTTTGACTTCAGCACCCCGAAAGGATGTGGTGCTTTTGTTATCCTGATTTCTTCACAGCTTTTATACAGGTAAATGTAGAGCCCACAAAGGACACACAAAAACAAATATACAACACTTTGCTGTGGAAACGAATTCATCCTGATGCTTACAACAGAACACCGACATTGCTTATATTTCTTGAAAAAGACAAATCCACAGCGCCCCCAGATGGACACTTATGTACCAGGATTTCGATAATTACATCAGCACAGAAAGATATAAACTGATTTTCTACTCCCCCGAGTGGACATATATCGTCACTTACTAACCGGTTTAAAATATCATATCATGTCTAAGTATCAATATATACGCCACATCGTAGTGTCGTTCCAAATCGAGGCACCAGGAAGCTACCTGTATAGCTGCCAAAGCGCAATTCCAATATGAACGCAATGATCACTTATCGGACCCAAAGTGAACAGCCACCCCGGCATTATATATCACAAATAACACTCCTTCTTCATTCTTAACACTCGGGTAAATAGCACTCCTTTATAGCACTAGATGCTGTTATCCAAAAGTAATAATCCTCCTTTATGACTTAAGACGCTGTACTCTGATGATAACTTTCGATTATTGTTCTACGCGGTGAAGTAACCCTCCGTGTTGCTTCTAGACATTGAACTCCGGTTAAGACACTGTCGTGAATCTAGATGTTGTAATCCTTTGGGACACTGGATTCTTTACTCCGATAAAAGTCCTCCTTTATGGTTCTAGAAGTTGTACATTGACGTTGTACACCGGTGACATTCATTGTGGTTCTAGACACTATACTCTAGAAGAGAGGAAAAGCGACTCTGTTCTACATCGTAGCTCGCCACTAGAACGATCCTGGATGGAGCTTCCTGGTTAGGAACGAGTTCTACTTTGCCTTCCCATACTCCGGAATCGTCCTGGTCAAGGCGAGTCCAGTCTTGGTCCACCACAACCGCCACTGTGAACGCTTTTGGAATCCGTACACGGAATGGAATTAGCTCCGTTTCCGTCTTGGGTGGGATGGCTAGTGGCTCCCACATGTAGCAACCCTCCTTCCAGTAGCCGAACTGTTTTGGGTAGCGCACCACTGGGGCGGTAAGCTGTTTACAATGTATCAGGTAGTTATATAAACCTGGTATCTGCTGACTGTTGTCCTCGAATAGGTTACCATGGATACATAAAGCAAAGAAGCCTTCTTGCGGAAGGAGCACGCATAGACGGATTCCTTCACTAATAGACTGTATAAATATGAACTCGGAACATTCCCGTTTTGTTTCAATTTCGTTCATGCTGGAGGTGAAGCGCATGCCCTTTGACGTGTGAAACTCTATTTCGACGTAATTTCCGTCGAGATGCATGATGGGATCTGGATGAGTAGCAGGGATGATTCCGTGTTTAACCAACATCGGCTGCTCTCCGAGGAAACCTGACGGAAGACGGGGCAGTTGCATAGGCTTGACTTCTTCATCACAGACGACAAGATACTGTGCTACATGACGCATCTTCTTGGAGTCTATATCCGGGTCTTTGGCATATATTTCGAAACCATACTCACCACGTCCCGGGGCTGTGATAGAGAATTTGGTCGCGTTACCAGATGTTCGGTGAATGACATAACCCTCAAAATCAGTTGCGTCCTGGAACTGAACCAGCCTCGTTCTGTACTGCATGATCTTAGGCGTGGTAACGATTAGAGTGGCCTGTCCTTGTTGAGTTGAGATGATAGCGTTTGTGTGCTCAGTAAACATGCCGAATAGGTAGAATGCAGACCCAGGTCCCCAACTTTGGTAGGCACACGGAGGGTAAGGCTTGGCAACCGGTGACAGAACCTCCTCTTGGATAATCTTATACTCACACACCTGGGCGAACATGCTGTCTTTTTTCTCTGGTGAGTCTTCTTTAGCATAAACAAAGAACGTATACGAACCCGTCTCTGGTAGACGAAGCCTAAAGGTGATTATACCATCATGTGCTTCAAGCATACCATAGCGATTCAATTTTTGACCCTCGCCCTCGTCGTTCTTCACATCAGGTTGTATGCTGAAGGTGAAGTGGAATGGAGGACAGTTGGTGGGGTAACGTAATGTGATGGTTGTCTCTCCTTTACTGATAACTTGGTAAGTATCGTGACTGAAGATGTCGAGACCGAGGAGGAAAAAATGTGGGGTCATGACTGGCATGTTTGAGAACTCCTCCATGGTAACATGCGGTTCCAGTAGCTGCCACTGTTGATCATCAGGGAAGTGAGTGTATATAAACCTAGAGGGAATAGTTAGGAAGAAATGGTCGTCCAGACCGTGCTGGATGTCACCTGATGTCGTTAGGTTACTGATGATTGGTCGCCGGGCAAACCGAATGTCAACAAAGTACCAATGACCGTCCACGTTAACGACGTTCCACGTGTGGAAGTTTGAGCCTGGTCCGCCCATGGTCTGTCCGGGCTTGTAGTCTGTACCTTTCGCCTGGCCGGTCAAAACTCGGGAGGGGATTCCACTGTACCTGGTGACGCAAAATAGATAGGAAATAATTACCTGCATTTTAAACTTTTCATTACCAATATCTATTTTTATAATATTAGCTAAATCTTGTTTATTATTATATATGAATTATAAATAGTTGAACAATATTTTAAATCTGGAGGACATCTACTCTCACACCTTACTTCAACTACAAGGGAAATGTATGTAATCAAAATATGGATTGGGTGCTTCTCTTGTATATAACATCATCTTGAAAAGGCTCTCAATATCCGACTTTTTAAGTATAGAGTATAGAACAGCTACATATCTATGTATCAGTCCTGTCTTTCTCGTCTACAACTTGTCAACAGGGCAGATTCATGCGAGGTTTTACCTGCATAGGGTATGAAAAGCCATGGCGTACGTGGTTCGGCCCGTGTGTAGACAGTGGAGTGTCTCCTCCGGACTTCCCTCTGTGACATCTTCAAACGTGATGTCCTGCACTTTCTTGGTAGCCAGCCACAGGTACAGGATTCTTGAAGAGTAAAGCACATTCAGGACCTCATTGGGAAGTAAGAGCATAAACCTGTATGTACTTAATATAATCTTCATCAAATACAAAGATACAAGGTCAACACAAAAGGACAATTAGAGCTATGGAGACACGTAGCGAAACCAGAAAATATGGAGACACGAAATCATAACAGGAAGCAAAGAGGCAGGGAATGACAACATAAACTATAGACGCACGTAAAGGTAACAAGACATATCATCACACGAAAGGACAACTGGAAGTAAGGTAACATGAAACGGCTACTGGAACTGTGGTAAGATGAACGGGCAGCGGACAATATGGAGACATAACAGGACAAAAGAACATTGGAAACATGAAAACACAGAAAGACTTTTATAGATAGAAAATAACGAGGGAATTACATAGATACGAAGACATAAATGGGAACTTTGGAAATGAATAGAAACAATACAGCTTATAGAAGCATATAAATACAACAGATACGTGAGACTTGTTATTGGATTTTGGAGAAACGAATTCATGTAGGACATATTTATATATAGCACGACATTTAAAATAAGTATGATGGATAACATAAAGGAATCTTATATCAAGAAAATTTGTAGACGGGTTTTAATTAAATCACACTTAAATCTACTTCTTTTACAACCCAAATCGTATTAGTTTTGACTTTCGATTCCATGCGTCTGCGTATTTTGTTTATCTTAGCATGTACAGCCAATTTGTTACACAAACCACTTTCAAAACACTAGTGCATGTCTACCTGGTTAAGTGGCGAATGCTTTGTTTGAATCACGTGTAGAAGTGTCTAGCTCCTATGAAACGCCCGAGTAAAGAACAGTGTAAATAAAATACAACATCTTGGAAACAGGCTATTTATACCATTACATCCGCTTCAACAATTACCGATAAGTACTGTATATTTACAAAAGAATATAACAGTTCTCACCCAAACATAGAGTTAGGTGCTTGACCCCACATTCACTACCCTCTCAATGTGTCTCGGGACTTTAAAAAATCTCCTCTACCTTTGTGCATATACCTAACTAATCTAGTGTCTCACATGCTGTATTTGTAACGTTCTTGACCCGGCATGTACTTGATATAGTGTCTCCGGCTAACATTATATATATCGTGTTACGTCCTGGACCCGACATGTACCTGATATAGTGTCTCAGGCTAACATTATATCGTGTAACGTCCTTGACCCGACATGTACCTAATATATTGTCTCAGGCTAACATTATATCGTGTAACGTCCTGGACCCGACATGTACCTGATATTGCGTCTCCGGCTAACATTATATCTTGTAACGTCCTGGACCCGACATGTACCTGATATATTGTCTCAGGCAAACGTTATATCGTGTAACGTCCTTGACCCGACATGTACCTGATATAGTGTTTCCGGCTAACGTTATATCGTGTAACGTCCTTGACTAGACATGTACCTGATATAGTGTCTCAGGCTAACGTTATATCGTGTAACGTCCTTGACCCGACATGTACCTAATATATTGTCTCAGGCTAACATTATATCGTGTAACGTCCTTGACCCGACATGTACCTGATATAGTGTCTCATGCTAACGTTATATCGTGTAACGTCCTTGACCCGACATGCACCTGATAGTGTCTCAGGCTAACGTTATATCGTGTAACGTCCTTGACCCGACAATTGTACCTAATATATTGTCTCAGGCTAACATTATATCGTGTAACGTCCTTGACCCGACATGTACCTGATATAGTGTCTCATGCTAACGTTATATCGTGTAACGTCCTTGACCCGACATGTACCTGATATTGCGTCTCCGGCTAACATTATATCGTGTAACGTCCTTGACCCGACATGTACCTGATATTGCGTCTCCGGCTAACGTTATATCGTGTAACGTCCTTGACCCGACATGTACCTGATATATTGTCTCAGACAAACGTTATATCGTGTAACGTCCTTGACCCGACATGTACCTGATACAGTGTTTCCGGCTAACGTTATATCGTGTAACGTCCTTGACTAGACATGTACCTGATATAGTGTCTCGGGCTAACGTTATATCGTGTAACGTCCTTGACCCGACATGTACCTAATATATTGTCTCAGGCTAACATTATATCGTGTAACGTCCTTGACCCGACATGTACCTGATATAGTGTCTCATGCTAACGTTATATCGTGTAACGTCCTTGACCCGACATGCACCTGATAGTGTCTCAGGCTAACGTTATATCGTGTAACGTCCTTGACCCGACAATTGTACCTAATATATTGTCTCAGGCTAACATTATATCGTGTAACGTCCTTGACCCGACATGTACCTGATATAGTGCCTCATGCTAACGTTATATCGTGTAACGTCCTTGACCCGACATGTACCTAATATATTGTCTCATGCTTACGTTATATCGTGTAACGTTCTTGACCCGACATGTACCTGATATAGTGTCTCAGGCTAACGTTATATCTGTAACGTTCGTGACACCACACATACCTTATCTTGAGTGACACACCAATTTTATATCCCTAAGGTCTATCTCTTTCATACTAACCTAATGTCGTGTCTCCAGCACGTCATATTGTGTAATATCTTTGACCCGATACCTATTTGATCGTGTGACATCAATGTCATACAACTTGTGACATCCTTAACTGGCCATCTACTGAATCTAGTGTCTCACGCAAATGTTATATATATAATGTCCTTAACGCTGTACCAACTTAATCGCGCGTCTCAGCGGCGTTTAATCGTGTAACGTCCTTGACCCGACACCTACGTAATCCAGTCTTTCACAGAAATGTTACGCATCGTGTAACGTCCTTGACCCAACACCTACCTAATCCAGTCTTTCACAGAAATGTTACGCATTATGTAACGTCCTTGACCTGACACATACCTAATCTAGAATCAGACTAACGTTATATCGTGTGATGTCTCTGAACCAGCGACTACTTAATCTAGTCTCTCACAATGACGTAAATCATCACGTGACGTCCTTTACCCAACACCTACCTGACCTTGGTAAACGGATCCTCTACAGGTTTACAAGACAGCAGATCCCACAACAGGTCTCGGAATGTCGCGTGGTGTTTTTCACAGACCTATGCAAAAATCGATCAGTTATCGCATACATTTGTCCACATATATTATACTATAGAGATAGTGATAATGACGGGGCCAATTCAAATATGGTTTTATACATAAGGTCACCATCGTTTCTGTAAAAACATACAATTGGTAGATAATGGGGTGTTAACTAATGCATAAAAAGCGAAAATCGGTTTTTTCTTCTTCTATTTTAATTCCTAACTGCTGGAGGTTTTATTACCGACATATCCGAATGTCACTTAAATATATATCTTCTCATATGCAATGTACGTGAATCCATGATGTAAGTAACATATACAGGTGTACACAACACGTGAAGACACGTGTTGCACATTGTTTAGAAGCATGCGCATGTTACATCGTAACTTGGCAAAGCTAAACAGATCTACACCAGATGCGCACCTCTAAGTAAACGAATTGCAAAAAATGAAGGTATGAGAAATTAGGACGAGCCTACAACCAAAGGATAAATATTTTCTTCTTCTGTAGAATATCAAATAAAAAGTCAGCTATCTACTTAATTATAACGCACAGATACAAACGAATAAAGACTTTAAATGCTACTGAGATTGTAACATGTTATACTGTTAGAACATGTTTGTAGACCATAATAGTGACATTGGAAGAGTGATTTCGGTTTCCCTGTAGTGAAATTTCCATTTCTAGATAGTAATACACTAATATTGCAACTGATGTTCACGGACTTGTTCCCAATACATGTATACCGTGTAAGATACCAGATAAAACCATAATGGGTGCATGTTGATTAAGATTGTAGGGAAGTATTGTAACCCAGATAAAATCATAATGGGTGCAGGTTGATTAAGATTGTAGGGAGTTGTAACTCAAATAAAACCATAATTAGTGCAGGTTGATTTCGGTAAGGTTACACTATAGACTATCTACACAACGGGGAAACATTGCCATATATGCTGTACCGCCGTTTTCATTTGTTATGTAGTCAGTTACTGACCCGCTTTGTGGCAACAGATGATCACTAAGATTTATAGGGGGCGAATATGGAGCCTGAACACGTTCTTAGAACATTGACGTTCGTATATAAAACAAAACCTGGTAATAGAAGGAGTCAGGAAGCTGGGAGCCGTAACCTATATACACACCTCTCTAGCATATCCGTCCATTTCGCGCATGCTCTCCTTATGTTTGTCCAGTATAATTGTATAATCGGCTGATGACACCGTAACCGGAAGTGTACCATCTAATTCATCGTCAGTCACAGGTTTGGGATCAAAGGTGGATGGTGCTTCGCCAGGATTCGATACTTCCGGGCCTCCATTAGTCTGTAATAGAGGAAAAGAAACGTTATGCACCAGATATATTCAAAAGTTAGTGAAGTGTGCTGACTTCCTGATTCTTGAGTCTCTTTTCTCCACATAGAATTTGAACGCGATGACATATAAATACAAAATGAAATGTGGATTTCAGAATCAATAAAACTATGATTTTATAATTTGGGCATGTCACCATGAATCCGAAACTTATACATTTAACTTCTACAAATAAAAGAAAGACCTTCTGACTATTACAGGCTGGCATGTGTGAAAATTTTCCCTCGAAACTTTTAAGGACAAATATGCAAATTTGTTAAGCAGACGATCAAAGGAAACTAATAACCATTATGTAATATATTCAATTCAGATATAGTCCCGATTTGTAAATTCCTAACATTTTAATGTAAATTAATATATACTGTAAAACAATAGGTATATTGATATCAGTCTTCCTACTCTGTTAATGACACCCATGTGACAATGTAAGCAATTTCCGAACACCTGAAATGATTTTTAAATGTATGAAGCAAGTTCTACACCTCCACAACCGTATGTCAGAACCGTGACTGCCACTGATCCAGCGTCAGAATTGCGTCTGTTACCCAACCAGTGCCAGAGCAGTGCGTGCCATACAACCAGTGCTGGAACTTTTGATTAGAACCAACCCAGTTTACCGGCCCTCTGCCAGTATCATTCTTGCCACACATTCAGTGCAAGAATCGCGCCTGTCAACCAACCCGTGTACCAGACTTAGCCTTAAAGAATCAAGAATCGCCTTATCTCGTATCTAACTAATCAATATATATATATATATATAAGGAAAACAGTTATCATACCATTGGCTTGTCTGCGATCTGCATAGGTGGTCGTTTGTCGTTCCGGACAAGAAATTTTTCTATTACGGAGTCGTCCAATTCTTCATCTCTCCTCTGACAGGAAATGAAATACTGACATATGTGAGTATAAGCTACTTCCGGTTTAGAAGGTATAAAAGCATAAAGTTCAAGTCCGTATTCTCCCGCCATGGGTAAAGTGATCGAAACGTAAGCTTTTGTGTCGTTGTCCTGGACAACTTTTACACATTTCTGCAGTTCCGAATCCTTCCAGCCATTCCGACAGAACCGGTAGAGTAGATGAACTGGTCTAGTTTTGTTGATTTCTAAGTTGATAGATTTTTCACTTGTAGTAATGTTACCACGTTTCTGAACAGGGTAGATACAGAATCGTTCTGTCCTCTCCCCCGGACCCCATGTGTGATCCCAGCATCTTGGTAGAGGATCGTCTTCGATACAAGATTTGTCTATCTGAACCTTGTATTCCAGAACCTCAAGAAACCGACTCCGATTTATGGACCTTTCTTCTTGGCGCTTGGCAAACAGTTTTAAGTAATATGTACCCGGAAGGGGAGACCTGAGTATGAAACTAGCACGGCCATTCTGGATTTCGTGGAATATAAAATCCTTCAAGTTAACATCACCACACTGCTCCTGACGAGTCTCGGAGGATACGAGTTTATACGAGAACTTGACTGGGGTTCCCAGACCGATGTCCCATTTCACCTGCCCCCGACGTGTCTCAATGACTGCCTTCACGTTTGATATAAAATTGAGTCCACACTTGAAGAAGTGGGGCTTAACAAAGGGTAAATGTTCAAATTCAGACGAACTGATTGGACGATCGACTAGCTGCCAGCTGGGTACATCTGACCAATGACTCAGCTGTAGTTGGTCCGGGTCAGTCAGGAAATAGAAATCACTGTAACTATCCGATCTCTCCTGCGATGAAAAAAAAAAACATTTGCTAAACAAAGTTCACAGCTCAATCAAGTATCGCACAAAAAAATCCGGTTTAACAGACATCTGGGGAGAATACACATATTCACAGACTTTTGTGATCTACAGATATAAGTTTGGTGTGCTTGACGAGAAGAGGAAAAAAAATATGGCGAATAGATATGAGCGGAGTGCTTTATTTTAAAGCATTCTCTTTCTTACGTTTGACACTTGACGGCTTCCCCATTTCGCATCAACAGGAAACCAGTTTTCTTTGATGAACACCACATTCCAGCAATGCCGGAACTTGTCGAGAGCGCATGCTTGACCAGGAAAATAGTCCTTACCCTTAGCAACACCCGTGACAACTTTGCAGTATATACCAGAATACCTAGAAAGTGTAGAAAGAGGCATGTGTAACGATAGCAAAGTTCATATTACAACGTCGATACAGTGTTTCCTTTCAAAACAAAACACCGTGTCAACAAACATTATATTTTGTAAAACAAAAGACAGTCCATATCAAAACCTTAACGAAATATGGTTTATGTTGTGCTCACGATAAACGCCATATATATATATATAGATAGATATCTAATTGCTGTGTGGAAGGGGGATACCTCCTGTATTACACACATACAACACTAGAGAAAAATCCAGACTTCTATGCCCGCTAGAATCACACACACACATAAAATATTGTAGAAAGTATGTTGCATACATCTGTATCGTTACCTCTTATGTGAAACTTATATGTATTAACAAAGTGTAGTATGAATTGTTCGCCCACATGTAGACAGAGCACATCATTTCAGCTTGAAAGTGACATGGTGTATGTGTCTATGTAGATTACAGCATAAAACAATAATTGTACAAAAAACACACAAGTGAATACAGTAGACCCCAACGGTGAATCAAACTGCATTATACCGCTAGTTTGCTCTTCTAGGATTCGTCAGTGATGCTATGGGCCTAAATGTTTAAAGCCAAGGAGGTGACTGAGGAAAATCCAAAATGACAGGAAGAAAAGTCTAAATCTAAACGGAGAGGTGCAGCAGCCCCATAATTAAATACATTTCGTAATTTTCATATATCAGATAATTTTAGAACAACGCCAAGTACATGTATGTATTCTGAACCTAGCCACTATACGAATTTTTCACTGGACTAAAGGCATGTGCATAAGATTGTGAAGACTGGCACAACGGGCCAAACCCAATCAACTCTACAATATCTGGCGCTTTCATATATATTTCTCATGCAATGAATACAAAATTGGAGTTTTTCTTTGTAGAAATGGATTATAGCCTGCGGGGAGATTCTCCTGTATTTACATTGGTCTGAGAAATAGCATGAGACAACGTGATGGAACAATACACGTACAGACAAATTATCTGGAAAATCTGTGCATGAGTTCTCTGTCCTTGCTGAAACTCTTTCATAATGTATTCCACGGTGTTGTTAGCCGTTTCTTCTGTGAAAAACGGGCGGTTGAGATCCCGTAGAGTTAGCCATTGGAATATTGCCCTGAAATAGAGAGGAATCCCGTATAAACATTATACCACCATAAAGAGTGAAATAGTAACCCTTTGAGCTCGACACGTCTGACCGTGAATTAAAGTTTATGCCAGACTCACGCGCAGCAAGAGGACAACACGAGTACACTGTAAACATCACTTAGTTGTGTCAGTTTACTTAAGTTACCAGCGATCAATACAATGCCATTTCCGCCATTACGATACCAAATAACCAATGCCGATTTCCCGGCACCTGGCCTCCTTTCCGTTATTTGGCTAGACTTGTTACTCTATTTGTATTGATAATTCCATGGTGCCCTGAATAAAGATTATAGCAAGTCCATAAATCCATAGACGGTTTTAAATGTAGTATAATCATTTAGTTTCGGGTTTGTCGAATCATTGATATTTTTTGTCACGATAAATTATTTTTTGCTTTAGCATGGTTCTCATGGTGGTGCTAACACATGTAAATTTATGAGAAAAAAAACGGAAATCGTCCACAATCTGAGTGTCAAATAGTGTCACCTGGTGTGATGCTGAAACTACCGGAGGTTGATTGTATCTACAAAAGCGACAAAATTACAGTCACCTGCGTATTAAAATCCCTCCTCATATTCAATGTGCGTGTCTGTGTGTGTGTGGGAGTTGGGGGGGGGGGGGGGGGGGGGGGGGGGGGGGGGGGTTGTTGCAATACTCCGGAAGACATTCAAGACACCAGGTTTTAGCTGATTGCTGAAACTTCGATGGAAGTGCCTTTTTTCTGACAATTAATGACCCTGTTGAGAATAGGAGAATGTTTCACGAGACATACTAACGACATTGTATCAAATCTCAGTGCTTGTCCACCATACGGTCCACAATTAAAACGGATTTTTTAACAATGTCACAATATATCTAAAAACCAGGATTAATTTTGTGTAAGATGGCAATGATTAATTGCACAATTTAATTTTATTTCTTATATATTTATAATTTCATTAATCATATGTATATCTAAAGTAATCTATCTTGTTTTTTCACATACAATTCGTAGAAATTGGGACTGTATAAGAGCAGTAGATGACAGTACCTGCAGGGTATATAAACATATGTGGAAATGATAAAAATATCCATTATGCAGCTAACTGCTAAATCAACGCTATTTTAATTGAGTCAACGACGACTTTCCGTCCTCATAATGTAAATATATTGCAATGATAAAACATATAACCATAATTTGTCATGGTAACAGCTGATAGAATCGTAGTACACAACACCAGCTGTGATGGTAAATGGGATGTGAATTTGTAAGATAAGCTATAAGCTTAATCTGAATCCAAGGAGTCCTTCGCCATTTCCTACGAAATAATGTAGGTACATGGCAGCTGTATTATTTGACGTGTTTACGACATTATTATAACATTCGGTATCTGCCAAATCACTCTTAAATAACATTGATTAAAGATATCCTAGGTGTGTGTACAACTGATGACAACAAAGGAATCGAGATGAGTGACCATACCTGAATTTGTTATTATAAATTCATATATTTTCATAGCGCTCAATGTCGTAAAAAATCTCTTTCGTGGTGATTTGATTTCGTGGATAAATATAACACAATAAATCTACTTGTACTAGTTTAATATAGTTCTAGACATACAAGTTCGTGGATTAAGAAAACCGATAATATCAACAACAACGAAAATTAATGTTTTTACAGTATAAGAAATCGTATACCTGACTTTGTCCAAGTCTGTTTTAACAGCCGCACAACTGTGGATGAGCTGCCAGATCAACTCGCGGAAGAATCGATGGGTGGAGCCAGCAACCTAAAAATACAGAAATGTGACGGCTTGCACGTGACTCCTGTTGACATTGTTATCTATCTAGTGGTAACAATACCTTCACAATAGATGTACAGAAATGTTTTATTAGATCATATAAATAAAATACAGGTAAATTGATAATTAAATAGACCAATAACCGTACCCTAAGTAGGTCAAACACCTACAACATCCTAACTACGCTCAATTTTGTTAATCCCAATATTTTGGCCGACTCGATCAGATATTCTCAGCAAAGGGTTGAAAGTTATTCCATCATCGGCCAAGCAGTAATTCAAGTTTTTTTTACAGGAACATGATGGCATGTACCTCTATATTTAGATAGTGTGTGGGCAAACAAAGCACATTTTAAACCATTACACTGCTATCAATTGTTAGTAAACGTATATTAAACATAGGGTGGCTGTTGAAGGCCTGCCATTTATCGTGTAATCCACAGGGGTATCTTTGTTACCAATACAGAGGCTCTTCTGATAACGTTAAGGTGCAGTGGTCATAATGACACATCTAAAAAGAAAAAAACCCATGCTGGTGATTTAATATGTATACGATATCAAGACCTAGATAAATTTAGTCCTAGATAAAAATACCTCCTGACTATTAAATCCCAGACAAACTCAGTCCCAAACAAAGCCAGTCCCAGACAAACCCAGTCCCAGACAAAGCCAGTCCCAGACAAAGCCAATCCCAGACAAACCCAGTCCCAAACAAAGCCAGTCCCAGACAAACCCAGTCCCAGACAAAGCCAGTCCCAAACAAAGCTAGTCCCAGACAAACCCCGTCATAGACAAAGTCAGTCTCAGATAAACCCCGTCCCAGACAAACCCCGTCCTAGACAAAGCCAGTCCCAGACAAACCCAGTCTCAGACAAAGCCAGTCCCAGACAAACCCCGTCCCGCACAAAGCCAGTCCTAGACAAACCCCGTCCCAGACAAACCCAGTTCCAGACAAACCCAGTCTCAGATAAGGGGACCTTATTGGTCATCTGAAATAACATCAGCAGCAGTAGTGGGAACATTTGTTAAATAATTGTAACAGTTCAAAATATGTTAAATAATTGTAACAGTTCAAAATATCTTATCAGTGAAGGCAAAAAAGAAAAGAAAACAACAACATTCTTCAATTTAATTTCTCAACATTCCAACAAAATTACCGCTCAATGGTACATGGAGGAAAGTTTATTAGAAAGCGAAAATGGTGGTCATGACGACTATACTGAATTTCGAATCAACCCGAAAAACACTTGCTTGGAACCATCTCAGAATCGTCACAGGTAAGCTTCAGCTGAATTTGTCGAACTTGAGAAGAAGAAGAAGAACCTTAAAATATAAACAAAAATGCACGGCGCACGACGCCATGCGAAACACGATGGCTATTGGTCATCTTGACCGGGTCAGATCAAATGACCAAACGAATGTTATTAATGGTAAGTATCGTCCAGCATACTGAACCGAGCTATTTAGTAGTAGTGTCATATTGTCAGGTATAAGAAAAGCTGATTTTACCTTTGATATAATATCGCGAAAAAAAACCAGACAAAACAAAATAACAACGTGGTTTTCGCTAAGGGTATATGTGTCATGTTAATTTTACATGTTTCTGTTCATATTCTGTCGTGCTGTTATTTCTATGTCGCTAGCATTACAAACATTTTGTAGCACGTTTCCGTGTAATGTTTCCGTTGCTATATTTATAACGTCATCATAAAATGATGTCATTATTATAGTATACTGTACACATTCCCATGGATAATGCATCCATGATGTCAGCCTTACACAACAAGTTCCCGTAAGTGGTTTATCTGTGACGTCAGTATTACCAATCGCTGCTGCAATATCCATGGAAATATGCATGTTCTTGTCTGAAGTAGCAAAGCCTAAATGAACCACTTTCTTCAAATGTCAGAGCTAAATCGTTTATTATCACAACGTATTTAGCCATTAGGTTACACACTATCGTTTGATCAACACGAAAGAGTGTGATTCTGCCAGAGTTATCTCCCTTCACATCAAAAGATGGCGCTGAGTTAGGAATGTGGGGTACGGAACACTGCAATGCCATATACAAAACTACCAATATAATCAAGCTGTCGGTTACGCCAGTGTATAAAGGTATCAAGAGATTTTTTACATTTTGATTCAATATTCACAGTAGATCTATGTTGCTGGTGGAGCTAGTGAGCACAAACAAACGTCGGATTCTTTTCATTAGAGCGCTTCAGATGTAAGCGTCCTCTGTAGCGGCCGTAACCTAAGAAGACTTTTTGTTGGTGAAGGTCTTTATAATTACGGAGGCTGTATCGTACGTAGAATTAAGGTGTAATGGGTAAATCGTATATGGGTTACCATAACTTATTAATACGCCATATCTATCTGCCGAGTTGTTTGATGTACGGCTGTCGGAGCCCTGTAGCATATTCCGTTTTAATGAGGTGGATGTTCAATCATTTTTACAAGAAATAATGAACGAAAAGTATAGCGATCAGCATAGCAGGCAGGGATCCGACCCAGAAATCTTGGCATAATTATACCCTTGGTGTGTTTAATCACAACTAGAACGACAAAGAGAAACCTCTATTATAACGGCAATGAAAAAGCATATGAAATCAGTTGCTGATAAATAAAGGTAGATGTGAATAGTTCTATTGTCAACAATCTGATCCTGGTATGATGATACGGTATGATTACACTTGTGTTCATTCTAGCCTGCTCGTAGATCGTGTTGGTCCTAGCTATTATGATGTAAAGCATGCGTGTTCTTATCCTGATTTGACTGCCGTGTACGCTTGAATACGCTTCAGCTAATCCTAGTATGTTTATAGAATACGCTAGAGCTAATCCTAGTATGTTTATAGAATACTCTAGAGCTAATCCTAGTATGTTAATAGAATACTCTAGAGCTAATCCTAGTATGTTTATAGAATACTCTAGAGCTAATCCTGGTATGTTAATAGAATACTCTAGAGCTAATCCTAGTATGTTTATAGAATACGCTAGAGCTAATCCTAGTATGTTTATAGAATACGCTAGAGCTAATCCTAGTATGTTTATAGAATACTCTAGAGCTAATCCTAGTATGTTAATAGAACACTCTAGAGCTAATCCTAGTATGTTTATAGAATACTCTAGAGCTAATCCTGGTATGTTAATAGAATACTCTAGAGCTAATCCTAGTATGTTTATAGAATACTCTAAAGCTAACCCTAGCATGTTTATAGAATACGCCAGATCTAATCCTAGCATGTTTATAGAATAAGCTAGAGCTAATCCTAGTATGTTTATAGAATACGTTAATGCTAATCCTAATATGTTTATAGAATACTCTAATGCTAATCCTAGTATGTTAATAGAATACTCTAGAACTAATTCTAATATGTTTATAGAATGAGCTAGAGCTAATCCAAGTATGTTTATAGAATATGCTAGTGCTAATCCTAATATGTTTATAGAATGAGCTAAAGCTAATCCTAGTATGTCTATAGAATATGTTTGTACTATTTCTGGTAAAATTATAAAATAGCTGGTACTTATCCTAGTATCATTATCGCAAGAAACCTTGTGACAATCCTAGCAATAAAATAGAGTTCACTCGTGCTAATCCTATCATACTCACCGAGTACGCTCGTGCTAATCCTATCATACTCGCCGAGTACGCTCGTGCAAATCCTATCATACTCGCCGAGTACGCTCGTGCTAATCCTATCATACTCGCCGAGTACGCTCGTGATAATCCTATCATACTTGCCGAGTACGCTCGTGCTAATCCTATCATACTCGCCGAGTACGCTCGTGCTAATCCTATCATACTCGCCGAGTACGCTAGTGATAATCCTATCATACTCGCCGAGTACGCTCGTGATAATCCTATCATACTCGCCGAGTACGCTCGTGATAATCCTATCATACTCGCCGAGTACGCTCGTGATAATACTTACATTAAGATATATTAGGCTATAGCTTATCCTGTTACGATGACCGAGTTTACGATAGTGTGTATCCTACATGTGTAAATGACCGATACGCTGCTGTTTGGTTTCCGTACTCTGTATAACTACAACTGTCGATTTTATGAGATGTAATTGACTTTATTCAAGTTATATTCACTTTAAGCAATTTCCTCAATTTTACAGACATGCATGGATTTTCCAGACGCGTGCTGGAATTTGTCAGAGAAATATCGGCAAGTGATCCATCCATTTTGCAACGTCGCGGAGACAGACAGACCTAATGGTTCGCCGCCGGTTTACTCTGTAATAAGGCTAGTGTAAAAATGGCTTTAATGTACGCATTTTACAGGACAGATAAACAAAGTGAATTACAATTCGAGCATGTGAATGCCATCGTATTCATCCCAAGAGGAATTCCAACTATTCCGATAACGGACACATTACTACAACATAGCAATTTGATGTGATATACGTAACAACCCTTGGCATGTCCTTCACAGAGCTGCAAGTTCAATACATGCTGTTCACTTAATCATTATCATAACTTTATCTTACCTTAGCCGCATGCTCGTCGACATCTTTGAACTTGGACACGTCTTGAATGAGCTCACATTTCCGGATCCGGGGTTTCTTTGGGTGAGGCAACGGTCCCTTCTCCTGGAGGATATTCTTCAGCTCAAACGTACCGGGAACAATAAGTTTCTTCGTCATAGTGTGGATGTTTGTGTTAGTCCAGTGTCATTCTCGACTGAAAAATAAACAAATTCGGTAAGAAACTGTTCAAATACTACTGAGTATTTATGTAAGAAGTTTTATATACTTAATTACTGTCCATCTGTATGGACTAGATTACTTATCGATAACGAATAATACCGTCACACTTACGTTGTTTGCTGTTCATTTAAGTAATCTAAAGTTAAACTCTATCAATATTGTGAATAAAAGACAGGAAGCAAATATTTTAGTATCTTACTATTGGATACAATAGTTACCAGATACACAATGTCACGATAGTTTCTGTATAACAATGTTTAATAACCTGATTCGGTGACCAGTAATGTCAGAACCTGACCAATCAGTGATCTTGATGGTCAATTTCTCTTTGACCGTACCAATATAATGCTGTATTCCAGATTTATATGCGGAACTGTGGATTGTGTTGATTGCCACATCGCACTGCTATCGGTATGCTGCTCACGTTAAGATACAGACTCTGTCAACTGTGCGTCGTGGTTATTCATGACACTACAGAAATGCTGTACAATACTATCAAAGATTAAACGCCGGTATTAACAGTCAACAACAAACTCACAACCTAACTACAACTTCAAACGTCCAATCGACAGCCATACAGAAATTTTCAAGCACCAAATTGTCAACCATACCGAAACTTCAAGCATCATATTGACAACCCTACAGAAACTTCAACCACCTAATTGACATCCATAAATCGACTTCAATCATCAAATCGACAAACCTACGTCAACTTTACACTTAAAAACAAATTCACACGAAGGTTTGATATTGAGCAATTAGTTAAAACAAAACATATTCATATAAATAAAAATGAATGCTGGGGCAGTTCAAATTTGTAAATGACAACCAAAAATCAAATCGGCAGCACTTGAATGGTTTTGATGACATTGCCACCTAAGCAAATACTCACTTGACCTTGACTTGAACCCCAACTTACAGTTTTCGGTACGCTTATTAACGTTGCTACAATACCTCTTCTTCTTAGAAAGAACCTTCTGTCGGTCGACCATTCATAAATGAACGACTTAATCGCTAATCCAAATGTCAGAATATTCACAATGTATTTTTCCTTGTGTGCACGTGAACCCAAGGTCATTAACCGCCGTACCGGAAGTGCAATACAATATACACCTCCCTTGTACATAAACAATACCTGTGCCATACACTTGTCTCCCTACCGACAGCTTCTGTCATAGCCTGTCAGATCCAAACCAAACCAACGGTTAAGCATTCCTGTCATCTGGCAGGGTGACATAGTGTAGGATTGGTGTTAAATACAGGTTTGGACCAAGGGAACTAACTACAGAAACATGTGTTAACTTTGGGACCAGGAAAGCATCAGAGTTAGGTTCGATGTAGCTACAAGCCACGATCGCGAGAACTATAGTATTCCGCCAGGAACTACCGGTAAGGACAGAAGATGTTTTCTGTGTTCCGCCAGGAACGTAGCCTAATTACCAGACAGGACCGAGATAGATTTCAGCATTCCGCAATCATCGTTCCGCCCGTTCAATATTTCGAACCATTCTTTCTTTACTCGACATTTCATTATTTCTCATAATCAGCTATACTAATAAAAACGTGTTTAGTGAACGGTAGTCACTGTAAAGAATTTCATTTAGAAATACGATAACTTAAAACAGTGTTAGGGAGTGTCGAGAAACATTAAGTAGTTACGAACAATGTTGCCCCGAATTCTCTTGATATTACTGAAACTCGAATACTTAAAAATGTTTCGAATTATTTTGATAATATGGGAAATTTAATGCAGTCTCGAATTATCGTGTTATTGTGGCAGAGTGTTATTTCTATAACAACAGCTGTTTTTGTTTCGCTGTCATCTTTATGAAGTCCTATGAGAATCACATGGGACCCAGCACGGTATGGTGTGTTGCTCTCTGTTATAGCCTCGATCTTCCAACATGAGGTAATGACTCTCGCAGATCCACAGTTAGGAGTTTATTATTTACATCACTTGGCGTGTTAAATAAACAAAACCCCAGACAAAGCCAGTATATTTTTAAATAGTCCGCGATCAGACAACTGATTACACATCAGGAAGTGTGTTTTATTTCACGACTGTTGGTGACTTTACAATGCTTCAGATACATCGCCAATAGTGCAAAACATGACAACACTGAGAGTATAGTCAAGTTGATGGTGGTTCAGGAATTCACACAAACAAAACCAAGAAAGGGAAAGCATACATACTTTGTTCAACAGTACCACAACATTATACTATTGATAACTTTTTCATAACGAAGTTGGATATGAGTTCTATCTATCTAACCAAGTTTACCATACACAACAATGGCGGGCTGGAGTCCTTAAAGTACAGTGTTCTGAAACATAGGATGGCGTTGTCCGTTATTGGTAGGTTTGTCGTAAACTAAGAGCTATCTACACAGCGGGAAATGAGGGAAAATACCACAATTGTGTCGATGTCCTAGCGTGACCGTGAACTTTGTGTATATCGCTGTGCGTTTTGATTATGTATATTATTATGTATTGATTTGTGGCTGTGACAAATATCCAGAAAGCGTTGGAAGAAGGTGCACAGTAAACAGAGGCAGATTGTACATGACATGTGAGCTTTATCACTCACGGCAGGACACATATAGGAGACCTATCTTAAAAGTACATCTGGCTTCACAAGTCCACTGTTTAGAAGGAATAACAACGTATTTACACCGAACAGTTTTATGATACGATCTCGAAAAACAAAAAAACTATTGTAGAAAATAGAGGTTATAGAGGCTGTTAGTGCTACCCAGACCTACAGATACCGGGACTGTGAATGATATCCAGACCTACAGATACCGGGACTGTGAGTGATATTCAGACCTACAGATACCGGGACTGTGAGTGCTTCCCAGACCTACAGATACCGGGACTGTGAATGATATCCAGACCTACAGATACCGGGACTGTGAGTGATATTCAGACCTACAGATACCGGGACTGTGAGTGCTTCCCAGACCTACAGATACCGGGACTGTGAGTGATATCCAGACCTACAGATACCGGGACTGTGAGTGCTACCCAGACCTACAGATACCGGGACTGTGAGTGCTACCCAGACCTACAGATACCGGGACTGTGAGTGATATCCAGACCTACAGATACCGGGACTGTGAGTGCTACCCAGACCTACAGATACCGGGACTGTGAGTGCTACCCAGACCTACAGATACCGGGACTGTGAGTGATATCCAGACCTACAGATACCGGGACTGTGAGTGCTACCCAGACCTACAGATACCGGGACTGTGAGTGCTTCCCAGACCTACAGATACCGGGACTGTGAGTGATATCCAGACCTACAGATACCGGGACTGTGAGTGCTACCCAGACCTACAGATACCGGGACTGTGAGTGCTACCCAGACCTACAGATACCGGGACTGTGAGTGATATCCAGACCTACAGATACCGGGACTGTGAGTGCTACCCAGACCTACAGATACCGGGACTGTGAGTGATATCCAGACCTACAGATACTGGGACTGCGAGTGATATTCAGACCTACAGATACTGGGACTGCGAGTGATATTCAGACCTACAGATACTGGGACTGCGAGTGATATCTAGACCTACAGATACTGGGACTGGGAGTGATATCCAGACCCACAGATACTGGGACTGTGAGTGATATCCAGACCTACAGATACGGGGACTGTGAGTGCTACCCAGACCTACAGATACTGGGACTGCGAGTGATATCCAGACCTACAGATACTGGGACTGCGAGTGATATTCAGACCTACAGATACTGGGACTGCGAGTGATATTCAGACCTACAGATACTGGGACTGCGAGTGATATCTAGACCTACAGATACTGGGACTGGGAGTGATATCCAGACCCACAGATACTGGGACTGTGAGTGATATCCAGACCTACAGATGCGGGGACTGTGAGTGATACCCAGACCTACAGATACTGGGACTGTGAGTGATATCCAGACCTAAAGATACTGGGACTGGGAGTGATATCCCGACCTACAGATACTGGGACTGTGAGTGATATCCAGACCTACAGATACTGGGACTGCGAGTGATATCCAGACCTACAGATACGGGGACTGGGAGTGATATCCAGACCTACAGATACTGGGACTGCGAGTGATATCCAGACCTACAGATACTGGGACTGGGAGTGATATCCAGACGCACAGATACTGGAACTGTGAGTGATATCCATACGTACAGATACTGGGACTATGAGTGATATCCATACCTACAGATACTGGGACTGTGAGTGATATCCAGACCTAAAGATACTGGTACTGGGAGTGATATCCAGACCTACAGATACTGGGACTGGGAGTGATATCCAGACCTACAGATACTGGGACTGCGAGTGATATCCAGACCTACAGATACGGGGACTGTGAGTGATACCCAGACCTGTGAATGAAAAGACTTGAAGCATTACCCAGACCTGTAAAAATACATACAGGGCTGGGAGTGGTATCCAGATCTGCAGAGAGGAATGCTTGATACCCAGACCTGTATAGACAGGGAGGTTGGGGTGGTACCCAGACCTGTAGATACGGAGGTTGGGGGCGGTACCCAGAACTGTATATACGAAGGTTGGGGCCGGTACCCAGACCTGTAGATACAAAAGTTGGGGCGCTACCCAGACCTGTAGACATTGAGGTTGGAGGCGGTATCCAGACCAGTAGATACGGGGGTTGGGGTTGGTATCCAGACCTGTAGATACGGAGGTTGGGGTGGTATCCAGACCGGTAGACACGGAGGTTGGGGGCGGTACCCAGACCTGTAGATACGGAGGTTAGGGGCGGTACCCAGACATGTAGACGGGGAGGTTGGGGCGGTACCCAGACCTGTAGATACGAAGGCTTAAAGTGGTACCTAGACTTGTAAATACAAAAGTTGGAGTAGTACCCCAGACCTGCAGACACGGAGGTTGGGGGCGGTACCCAGACCTTGTAGACACGGAGGTTGGTGGAGGTACCCAGACCTGTAGACAGGGAGGTTGGGGTGGTACCCAGACCTGTAGACACGGAGGTTGGTGGAGGTACCCAGACCTGTAGACAGGGAGGTTGGGGTGGTACCCAGACCTGTAGACAGGGAGGTTGGTGGAGGTACCCAGACCTGTAGACAAGGAGGTTGGTGGAGGTACCCAGACCTGTAGACACGGAGGTTGGTGGAGGTACCCAGACCTGTAGACAGGGAGGTTGGGGTGGTACCCAGACCTGTAGACACGGAGGTTGGTGGAGGTACCCAGACCTGTAGACAGGGAGGTTGGGGTGGTACCCAGACCTGTAGACACGGAGGTTGGTGGAGGTACCCAGACCTGTAGACAGGGAGGTTGGGGTGGTACCCAGACCTGTAGACAGGGAGGTTGGTGGAGGTACCCAGACCTGTAGACAAGGAGGTTGGTGGAGGTACCCAGACCTGTAGACACGGAGGTTGGTGGAGGTACCCAGACCTGTAGACAGGGAGGTTGGGGTGGTACCCAGACCTGTAGACACGGAGGTTGGTGGAGGTACCCAGACCTGTAGACAGGGAGGTTGGGGTGGTACCCAGACCTGTAAATACGGATGCTGGGAGCGGTACCCCAACCGACAGATACGGGCGGTATCCTGACCTGTAGATAAGGAGAATGGAAGCGATTTCCAGGCCTGGAGGCGATGAGCCTGCGAGTGGAACGCAGACCTGTATATACGGAGGCTGGTGGCGGTAATAGACCTGTAGACACGGAGGCATGGGTGGAACCCAGACCTGTAGATACGGAGGTTGGGTGGTACCCAGGCCTGTAGACAGGGAGGTTTGGGGCGGTGCCCAGACCTGTAGACACCCAGGTATGTCGATTTAAAGGCTAGGTGCAGTAATTACGTAAGCTGGGACTGAGGTATCCACACCTTAACCTGATGATAGGGAAACTGTTAACAGTAACCAGATCTACAGACCCGGAGGCAGGGACTGTGGTACCCAGACCTGATGATAGGGAAACTGTGAACAGTAATCATATCTACAGACCCGGAGGCAGGGACTGTGGTACCCAGACCTGATGATAGGGAAACTGTGAACAGTAACCAGATCTACAGACCCGGAGGCAGGGACTGTGGTACCCAGACCTGATGATAGGCAAGCTAGAACTGTGGCTCCCAGATCTATAGACCCTGAGGCTGGGACTGTGGTACCCAGACCTAATGATAGGGAAACTGTGAACAGTAACCAGATCTACAGACCCGGAGGCAGGGACTGTGGTACCCAGACCTGATGATAGGCAAGCTAGAACTGTGGCTCCCAGATCTATAGACCCTGAGGCTGGGACTGTGGTACCCAGACCTAATGATAGGGAAACTGTGAACAGTAACCAGATCTACAGACCCGGAGGCAGGGACTGTGGTACCCAGACCTAATGATAGGGAAACTGTGAACAGTAACCAGATCTACAGACCCGGAGGCAGGGACTGTGGTACCCAGACATAATGATAGGGAAACTGTGAACAGTAACCAGATCTACAGACCCGGAGGCAGGGACTGTGGTACCCAGACCTGATGATAGGCAAGCTATAACTGTGGCTCCCATATCTAAAGACCCGGAGGCTGGGACTGTGGCACACAGGCTTGTAGATACGGTGGCTGGGATAGGTTACACAGGTGTAACAGGTGGCTGTACCATATGGTGACACTTGACTGCTATTAGTGCGAAGAAAATAAAAATGTTGATGATGCGAAGTTGATGATAAAGCCTGATACACGGGGTGTAAGTAACCGGAAGTTTTACTACAGCTGTACCCAACAACCGGTCACATGTCAATACACGTTATAACAAAGAGAAATACTTCGTCGGTTTCTACAGGTCTCGTGTTTCTATGATAAACGTATCTTTTTCAAAATTAAGTGAGAGGTGGTATACGTGTTCGTAGGAAACTATCGTCAGTCGAGTTCAGTACATTTATCGTTTACTTGGCAGAAATCTATACACCTAATACGTTTACTTCATGTATATCATCAAAAATAAGACAAAATAGGACCAAATTCTCTTGCTTTTACATCAAATCTACGTATGTTATTTATGTCATGTACATAATATTGGCAGTAAATGAGAAACAAGACCGTATAACGTCTACACCATAACGCTGTTCTATACTATATATAATATCAAAGTACTCTGGGAAGCATTTAGCCAGATGGGCCGATAGTAAACACTTCAGCTTCCATGAGATATTGGAAAGCTAGAACAGACTAGACAACATTCTTGACTTTTCTTACTTACCGCTATCGCCTCGATATATAAGAAATTCCGTCTTTGAAATTTGATAAAACACACAATCCCTTTTAATAACAGCTTATCCGTTGGAGAAAACAAACGCTGGTGTTGCTATATCCTTTCTGTTTTAACTTTCACAACAATCTGTTTTTGTTTTCATGTTGCTGTCTTGTCTACCATATTGCAAACCGGAAGTGTGCCATTCCTAGACGTCGTCTGTCGATCAAATATGCACGTGCTACTGGTGTTGATTTCTGAGTCATGTGACAAACGTTAACGACCGTGTCATGCTGCTTTGTAAAAACTGTAAATAAATCCAGTATGTGAAGCAACAAGATTAGCTGATCTTCCTCAAACAAATTGCTAACATTTTGTTTATGCACTGTAACTTTAAGTGAAATCAACATTTTCTACACTGCAGTGCATTTCGTTTACAAGCGCAATTAAACAGATTAACACGATACATATCGTTGGTTTGACACTGAAGTGGTAGCATACCTATCGCCATGCACTTACGACACCGTATCCGACCTGTTGATAAGGACGGCCATTCTTCAAGAATCCGTGAATGAAATTAACGATAAGAACAGACACCTAATCCCACGGGACTATGAACGGACAGGAAATAGTTAACAGTGACTGTTGGAAAAATATCCCAACCACACGCCACATGGAACAGAAACGAAGCTCTCATCCCGCCCAAGTACACCCTGCTGAACAGGACTCCACAGGCGCTAGTGCTAGCGAACCGCGGCGAACCCTGCTATCAGCACTGATTGAACGGTTGTACATGTATTTCCAGTGAAGCGAGGGAAGGTTCCTGGGTAACATATACGTATGGTTGGAGAGAAATAAACACACACCAGTAAAAAGTGAACCATATATAACATTATCGTTCTAATGATAACTTGTTTTAAAAGGCGCAATCATAACCATCTGTGATACGTTACGTCAAAGTTCGACATCTTTGTCGATGGTTTTGTCATTAAAACCACGTGTTTCTGCCCGACCAACTGTTGGTAACTTACTGGATTTTACGACTCGCGATAAACATTCACCGGTATTTAATATCAAATCGTACAATAAAATTGACTTGGCAAAATGCTTCTATAAAGATTATATTTGTTTTATAGATAACTTAAGTTATCAACGGAAGCCTTCTTCAGTTTTTAATTGGTTTGGCTGATACAAGGTTTTGACAGCAGTCATTCTGGTTCTTCTGTATGCATTGACTGTACCGAGATGATTGGAACGAGTTTACATGTAGATATATAGTGATATAATTCCCCTAGCCAGGTCCAAAAGGTCAGGTGACACATCGGATGTTGAGAGAGCACGGACAGGTCTGCCGGGGACACACAGGAAGTCTTGAGAGTAGGGGCATGTCTGGCCTGGTCAGAAAGGCCCTATGACCATCGAAAGTTGTGAGAACATGAACAGGTCTAGCCGGGTCAGAAAAGCTGTGACACATCGGAAGTTGTAAAAGCACGGACAGGTCTGCCGGGTCCGAAAGGCTGTGACACATCGGAAGTTGTAAAAGCACGGACAGGTCTGCCGGGTCCGAAAGGCTGTGACACATCGGAAGTTGTAACAGCACGGACAGGTCTGCCGGGTCCGAAAGGCTGTGACACATCGGAAGTTGTAACAGCACGGACAGGTCTGCCGGGTCCGAAAGGCTGTGACACATCGGAAGTTGTAACAGCACGGACAGGTCTGCCGGGTCCGAAAGGCTGTGACACATCGGAAGTTGTAACAGCACGGACAGGTCTGCCGGGTCCGAAAGGCTGTGACACATCGGAAGTTGTAACAGCACGGACAGGTCTGCCGGGTCCGAAAGGCTGTGACACATCGGAAGTTGTAACAGCACGGACATGTTATTTGGCTCTAGAGACGAAGGGTGTTTTAAGGCGACAAGTTCCTGTTTGTTTGAGAATAACTAAATCAAGCTCCCGTACAATTCCTTTCTTCTATTACCGAGAACAAGACTTGAATATCTATATCAAATTCAAGGAAGGGTTTTTGATTATGTTCTATAAGACTTTATGTTTATATAGAGGTTACACAATAAACCGTTGTCGTATAATGTTGTTGTATGTCACCCTCGTTTGTTATTTTCCATTATGCCTTGGGAGTCGATTAATAAACACCGCCCCCCCCCCACCCTCGCCCCTGCCCCCTGCCCCCTGCTGTTGAGGTAGGAATCACATAGCTTGCTTATGTCTATATAAAGATGTTTATGGTCTGTGATACTCTTTGTCTACATCCAGTTAACAACCGAGAACGGTCCTATTGTTGTCACCCAAAGACCTCCCCTGTTACGGCACACACGAGTAGCTGACGGTCATGACGCTTCCCTTTAAAAAGGCTAACCAATACATAACTGAGCTCAAAACGTGGGACATCTATTTCTAGATATTTCTATATGTAGATGGGCGTTTTGGTTGTTTCTATCTTACCTTTACAACAAGTATTGAATCAGTGTACGGGTTTGTAAAATGTTTGGTGGTAAAGGAAACCATGTGCGAGCTAAAGATTTCCATTAATACTATTTTGAACCATTCTTACATTTTCAAGAAAAATGGCCGATCCCGACAATTACGATCGACACATTTAGATCGAAAGACTACACGTGAACGATGACTCTATGTAGTTACGATGACAAAGCGATAAAGCTAGGCGGTGTTACGTACCTGTTTGTTGGTTTAGACCAAATCCTGGAATTATATAAGCAGTTTATCAACTCTCACATCTGTACATTCTGCTTTCTGTTCTATATATATGTCTACAAACACCACAGCCACCAAGACAAATAAGTATTTTTAGACAATAGATTTTTGGCAGATTTCGAAATATAGATAAAGCAAAACTTGTTGTTTGATGAGACGATGTATCTATTTTAAGCTGCAGATGTTTTATGATTTGTAAGATGGATACAAACCTAATTACTTACAACAGTATAAGTGTACATACAACGTTTCGCTTACTGCAGTGACGAATTGGGGAGAGGTAGCTACTGTCGGTTGTCATTCTCCCGACAGTGCTAAGACAACATGATGGAGAAACAGTTGTTTTACACTTCCGGGTGGTAGTAGCATTAGGTATGACAAGCTACTTAAATTGCATTTAACAAACTCTGCAGATTCGCTGACATTTCGACATGTTGAAACTTTTGGAATATTTAGAAGTCATGGGCGCAGATAAGAAAATAGTAATGGCCCGATTTAATGTCTGCCCAGAACGTCTTAACGATGGGAGGGACCTACAGTTTGATGTCGACACGCTTCCAGTAATACAGGTTTTATACATGGTATGTTTCCAGGATTAGTTGTATAGGGAACAGATCAGTGTCAAGCTCTGTTGTCTTTGATGACGTAGTGCACAAAATACGTCGTGCTTTAATTAATTTGGGATGATTAAATCAAGGGCGATAACTGTAGTACCCATGTACAGTAGTTTACACACTGTAAACGTTAGACCAACACTAGCGGTCGACAGCTATAACATCAACCTTGAAGGGATCCGATAACTGCCAAGTTATGTAATATGGAAGGTGACCGACAAGAATATAAACAGATAAACCCATCATCTTTTATCTATAATCTAAACAAAGACTTTCCGTGAACTTTTTACTCTATAAACAAACCAACAGCTCTTAAGCCTGACAAACTTAAAAATACGTTCCATTGATTTCGCTACACTATCGACATTAATTTTAGATAAATATTAAACTGAATGTAATAAAATACGCCATAAACGTCTATAAAACGTACTAAGAAACACTCGCATAAATTTGATACTATCACCTTATAATCAGAATCAGTTATATAAACAAATCAACCTTATCACGGCCCGTCCCTGTAATACAACACTAAATGCTGTGTACATATGGCAGACATTGTGTTGATGTAATATCGGGAGCATGCCATTTCTTGGTATAATAATATATACCGGTAGGCCGGGAAAACATGCACGTGTACCCTTGACCGGATATGGCTTTAATGCACGTGCTGGTGCTGTGGTATATTTGTGGCGGACGCTCAAGTTAATAAGATAAAAAAGTAAATATAGAAGTACTATTTACCGTTAAACAAATTAAGGAACTCTTGGATCTCGTGTGCGTGATTTCCGCGTCCTTGTGGGAGTTTTACAAGTGATGATCAGTTCCTGACAAACACCACTCAAAATCCTTAAAGAGATGATTACATATCTTATTAGTTACCACTCTGTTCCGGTGTTCGTACTGTGGTTGCTCTCGGTCATTGAGCTGCTGTATTGGCACATAAACTTTGTGTACACAACACACAGACCAAATGATCACAGAAAGCACACGAGGAAGTCACAGGCAAGAAAGAACATTTAAAACAGACACAAGAGAAATCTTGGGATGACCCGACATCACTTCGGAACCTCTTTTGATATAATGACTGATTGGTCGGTCAAAAAAACAATAATGAACATGTAACACAGCATAATTCCTTCACTTTCTTTGTGTTCGTGTCCGATTGTTTTTTAGGTCATTAGCTGATGGAAGAGATATGGTCATTATTTGATCGGTGAGCTGTGTTCACTACCCATTTACCAAGTTTCAAGTTTTCAAGTCTTATTATATCCTAATGCAATACAGCATATAGGTACAAGTACATTATATACGTAATTAAATGATCAAAATTCATGTATGTACCGTACAAATGACAAGACATGTGACAAGACATGTGACAATGTTTTTAGACCTCTTCAAAGCATTGCCCCAAACTACCACCCACCACTGCCAACAGGTGTTATGTATACCCTCCCGTTTGCCTGTCCCCTGTGTGAGATATGTCTCTTTTTCCCAACCAATACTCAATACAACGGGTTGCTGGATTATAACGCATTAACATAAAGTTAGTTATCTTGTCCCGCGAGATCAAAAGCCGTCCGCGCCTGGAATTTCTATGTGCTGCCAACTGCGTGAAACTCCATCAATCCGTGACATTCTAGCTATGCTGGGGAACTTTTGCAGTCGAATAGTTATACAATTACCCGTATTGAAAAGCCGTGTTTGTAATTTTAGACTATATTTGTAAGTTTATAACACGATTAAAATTACACACCAACATTTTATTCTAGTTTCCATCTGATCTGCCTCGTCAGTAAGGCAAATGTGTAGTGAGTTCTCTCAAGAAAAACTACGAAATTGTATAAAATGAGTTCTCCCTCGATGATACCTCGCCTTAAACCAAAACGTGTACACAAGTTCTCCCCGATACATCAAAATGTGTACTCAATGAGTTTTATCATGATAAGCCAAGAAATGGTATACATAAAATTTTCCATCAATATATACCAATACAATATCAACAAGGAGCTCTCATTGGATGAACAAAAAACGTAAACAATGAGTTATCATTTGATAACGAAAATGTTAACAATGAACTCTCCCTCAACATACCACAAAATTATAACAATGAATTCTCCATCGATACGCTAATACATTTATAAAATAAGTCCTCCCTCAATATACCAAAGCGTGTAAACAATGATTCCTCCCTAAATATACCAAAGCGTGTAAACACTGATTCCTCCCTCAATATATCAAAACGTGTAAACAATGATTCCTCCCTCAATATACCAAAGCGTGTAAACACTGATTCCCCCCTCAATATACCAAAACGTGTAAACACTGATTCCTCCCTAAATATATCAAAACGTGTAAACAA